TTTATTATTAAATTGGTAAAATAGTTTTCTTTTTTTATGTAGCTTTTTCAGAATTTGTTTTTAAATTTATGCATTTTGTATTTTTTCTTCCAAAAAAGTATTAAGATTTCAGTACATCCACGTTCACTAGCGCTTCTTAAGCTTGCAGTATTACATTTGCATGCACTTATCAGCATTTTGTGTTAGTTCATTATATCCAAAATATTTTGTTACTCAATATGAAGGTCTTCTTCGTAGGCTCTGTATTGATCATCATAAGTAAATCAGAGAGTCCTTTCTTTATTTAAAAAAACAACAACATATGACAGTAATTAGCTCATAATAAAGTGTTACAGTCATTTATTCTCTGGCATTATATATTTCGTGCATTTGCCTGCAAATGAAAAAAAAATGACGGATAGTAAGACTGCTACGGATTCTGAAAATCAAATAAAAATATGATTCCCCAACCTTCAAATTTTCCTCTAAAATTTGCTTTCATTTGAGAAACAATTAACAATTTTAAGCTTTCTATTTCTTTTACAACCTTGATATATCTGAATCAACTTAAAGTTGTCATTTAAAAAAACAAGGTCTTTTATATATATATATATATATATATATATATATATATATATATATATATATATATATAATATCATCCGGAAGGTGCAGTGTCCGGATGAACGCGGCGCCACTGTATACATGTATATACCTTTTCACGTACCGAAATTTCCCCACTTTGACAAATTATTTTCTATCTGCAACAAAACTTGTTATAAGTAATTATGCAAAATCTGACAGCCGATACATTATCATTATCATCAAAACAGAGTTGTGTGGTAAGCAATCAATTCATGAACTCTACAGTAATACATTTATTATTTCCAATAGTTTTTCTTTTCATATAACAGTTTATCATACATAGCCAAGCCTGAAAAGTAATAAATAGGGGGTGGAAATGTTATTAGCCTTTTAGTATAGCTCATTGAAATTGCTTGTAGAATTCAAAAGGGACTTTTTTTTCTTGTAAACTGAAACAACCTGTGCCTCTTTAAATTCATTTGGAAATTTACATCGTTCAAAAAATTTGATAATGAGCAAAAAATGGTATTGGTTTTGCTTTAGTTGTATACTAGTATAGACAACTAAATTGTATATACACAAACTAGATGACGTCAGCGTTTCCATCGTCAACATTCCTTATTTATGTTGTAATATTCCGCTTTCACCTGTATACGGTGTTTACGCCTCTCAACTTGTTATATACATTAAGTACCTGCTTTAAGTACAATCACTTCTTAAACCGTTATAATTATCTTATTAGCAAATTTAACATATCAGACTGACATATTAGGCTTTGTTTTCAGAATACAGAATATTCCGTCTACCTGCGCAATACATAGGGTTCACAGAGGGTTTGACTAGCCGAGAGGGCAATGGTTTAAGGGGGTCCCTATTTTATGTCCTGTTTATAGATTTGTATTGTTTTTAGGTTTTTTTAGACCGACCATTGTTCGTTAATTTCACATTTTCATTGAAAAGATTGGGTGTTTTCACAAAAATATTATCTTATCCAAGAGCTTTTTGAATTCAAATTTTGTCTGGATTGATGTGAATTTCATTTGTTTTTCTATATGCACATTTCAAGAGATTGGTTTAATACTTGGATGATTGTTGTTAAAAGAACAGCTGCCTTGACCTATATCCTTTGCAACATTAAAAAGAAATCATTAAATGTTTCTGGTACCTCTGCTTGATTGTTTCAGTATTTTTCCTTTCCTGCTAAGAATCACATTATTCCCTGCCATTATTTCCTGCAAAGAATTACATTTTCAAAATAACTACATTTGTTTGTAAGGAACAACTTGATAGTTGGCTTTAAAACTTATTCTTTAGGTCCCCCTACAAATCTTTCTAAAAAAGTAATTTCTAACTGAATTACTTCTGACCTTACTCATTAAGTTTCTTTGCCTTCTATACTCTTCCCTATTCAGCCAAATTTTATTTGATTTGGAAAGAATCTTACAAAGTATTAACTTATGATACAAAACAATAATAACTTAATTTATAACAACCAATTGGGACAACAATATTTATGTCAAGACATTTATGCCTTCAGTTATTTTTTTCTTAGAATTAAGCTTTAATCCGATAATTTTGTTTGGTGAATCATATCGAAAGATACTTGGGAGGTAATAGTTGCAATTGACGACATACTTTATGCCCTAGCCATTCAGAAGAGCTGAATTATGGCTGCTTTTCAAAAGATGTAACACATATTAGTTTTTATACAAAACATGAACGATTGGGTTTAGTGAATTATTTTACCTGCACAAATTGTACAATTAAAATATAAATACATTAAATCAAATTTATCAATACGTTTTCATTACAAAGTTTTAATAGTAACCAGTGATCAAAACAATATTTTTATGCTGTCAAGGATGTTAGATACGTTCTGATCCTGATTGAAGGACATTGCATAAAAGTAATCTATAATAATGATGTCCAGGAGGAAAAAGGTGTCGATTTCGACCCATACTTACTTGCCTGTGCTTTTTAAAACTTCTACAATTTTAATCTAGTTGACATGAAACGCATAACACAAGTAAACTAAATCAAATTATAAAAATTTCTTAATTGTTTTTATACCCAGGGATGGTGTTGCCATGGCTATGACAAAAAAAGAATATGTTGAAATTCTTTCAAATAACTATATTTTTTTTCCTTTTCTTTTCTCCTTTTTTTGTATTTTTCATTTTATAGCAATAAAAAGTGATATATAAGTCTGCTACATCAATACAAACAGAAATATTCAAACCAATTTCTTCTTCAATTTATTTCAGCAAACGAGGTTGGTATGTTAATAAAATTTTACAAATGTATCAGTTCTACCTTGGTCTGATTCTAATAAAGCTTGATATGCATTCTATCTCAAGGTTGGCACTGGTGAAATCAAAACTAAAAGTAGAATAAGCTGTCAAATTTCTCTCATAATACTTCTCGTACAATTTGGATATAGATTTCAATAAGACATTTACTTTACTTAAGTTCTAAAGGGTTTCGCAAACAAAACAACTTTTCCATTCTCTCGGAAAAGAAACCCCTAAAAAATTCAAATAAAATAATCAAGAGCTTATCGCGGTCTTTGAAATGCTGAAATCTTATACTGAAAAATGATATTTTAAAGATCCAGTAAATAAAATAATGGTATGGTATTTCTTATTCCTCCTTAAAATTTTGGGTTGAAACTCCATGAATTGAAATATATTCTAGTGTTCGTACTATAATTGAAGAATTTATGAGGTAAACACTCCTTTTCCAATAACAAAGTAGAAATTTATATAAAGTAAATTTGCATTTTTATGCCCCCGTAATCGAAGATTTCTGGGGCATATAGTTTTTGCCCTGTCCGTCCGTATGACTGTCTGTCTGTTTGTCCGCAAAAACTTTAACCTTGCCCATAACTTTTGATTGGTTGGAGCTATGGCTTTCATATTTCACACGTGTACTCCTTGTGTCAAGACCTTTCTTTGGGTTCCATCATATTTGACCTTTTGACCTTGGAGTTTGACCCACTTTTGCAAAATCTTATGAGACTTTTACCTTGGCCATAACTCTTGAACAGTTGAAGCTTAGGTTTTCAAACTTCACATGTGTATTTCTTGTGACAAGACCTTCCTTTGCGTATCATCTTTGACCCTTTGACCTTAACCTTGGAGATTGACTTACTGTTGATAAAACTTTAACCTTGGCCATAACTTTTGAACAGTTTGTGCTTGATCTTGATGTGTACTCCTTGTGAAAATACCTTTCTTTGGATACCAACAACTTTGACCTTTTGACCTTGAAGTTTGACCTACTTTAATTTTGAAAAATTTTAACCTTGACCATAACTTTTGAACAGTTAATGCCAGGGTTTTCATACTTCACATATGCATTTCCTGTGGGAAGACCTTTCTTTAGATACCAACAACTTTGACCCTTTGACCTTGACTTTGGAGTTTGACCTACTTTTGAAAAACTTTTACCTTGGCCATAACTTTTGAACAATTGGTGTTAGGTCTTTCATACCTCGCTTGTATATTCCTTGTGACAAGACCTTCCTTAGGATACCAGCAATTTTGGCATTGACCCTGACCTTGAAATTTGGCCTACTTTTAAAAAATTTAAACCTTGGCCATAACATTTGAACGTTTGGTTCTACGGCTTTCACATTTCACGATCATGTGTATCACTTGTGACAAGACCTTCCCTTGGGCACCATTTGACCTTGACCTTGCCGTTTTACTTAATTTGAAAAAAAACTTTAACCTTCGCCATAATTTTTCAACGGTTTGTACTAGGGCTTTCATACTTCGCAGATATATTTCTCGAGACAAAACCGTTCTTTGGGTACCAACATTTTTGATTTCTTGACCTGGAGTTTGACTTGCATTTGAGAAACTTTAACCTTCGGCATAAGCTGCCATACGGGGGCATCAGTGTTTCACAAACACATCTTGTTCCAATTTCTTATTTGTTTCTTTTAATACTAAATAAATAAAATATGAGATAAGTTGTACATATGTGAAGATGAAATACAGGAATAAATCTCATTTTTATAATGTAATGAGGATAGGTGAATATTCATATTCATGTAAGTCTTCAATGTAATGATTAATTACGCAAATACAAAGACATATATGTCTTTCAGTGAGCGGAAGTAAGCTGATCTAAATATCTAACATCTTTCTGTTCGTGGACATTTGAATGATTATATACACCTCAATAACAAAATTTAGAAATGTTTCTAATAATTATAATAGTACTAGTGTCCTTAAAATTCAGATTGTACATTCCCTTTAATAATGGTCTAAATATTTAAATATATTCCTTTAAAAAGTACACAACAATTTAAAAATGTTTCTAAAAGTATTCAAAAATAATGAAAAACAAATAGTCATATATATAATAAAAAAAATTGAATAATTCCTTTCACAATCACTTTGAAATTCTTTGTTAATCACAAAACCAGTCTACTTCCACCCATAAGAAGACGGACCAAATTGGTATATAAGTCGTTTTCCTATAACAGGCATTAAGATCTTCGTCTTGTAATAATACCTGGAAAAAATACGAACAAGCTTGGTGAGGATGTAACAAGGCCAGTAACTCGTTCACAAGTTCACTTCTTTTTACGTCTGGAGTAACATACCTTAAGGCTCTACTAAGTTTTTCATATGTCATGCCTTCGTTGTTTTTCTTTTTTCCCCACATTTTGGCGATTTCTTTGGTTTTGACCACACGAAATTCGCCTTCTTCTTTATTGGACCACGTTACGATATCTGGGTTATATCGTGGATTACAAAGAAGGTCGCGTATGAATTCCCAAAGACGACAATTTGTTTGTTCTGTAATAAAATTAAAATTCTATACACGTCTGCAATAACATATGTAAATCTTGTACTAATGAACATCCAAACAGATCAGGTTTAACATGTCTGATCTGTTGGAGAAAAGATAGCATGAACATTTCGGTTAATTACGAACATACCTCTATGAAAGGGAGATTTCTTTATCTTTCGTCGACTGTTTGTTTTTCTTTTTAATACCAGATCATCTAAATAAGTAATAAATACCTAAATATCAAACTGGGAGTATTGTGAAGATACCTTCAACATTATTAATACTTAAGTCGAAATCTTACATCTTTTAACCAGAAATTGCATATGAATGAATAGTTTCAGTGTTTTCGACAGGTTTTTAGCAGGGTTTGCGGGAAGGGTCTGAGAGATGTACCCCGTCCATTGTTTAACGATATGTATCAATTTGGTGGGTTATGGTTCATTCTTGAAGTCATTTTTTCATATTTTACGAGGGTCGTTCGGAAAATTCGCGGACTTTTGTTATAACTTTTTAACTTAACGTCATATTATATCCAGATTTGATAGATATGCTTTAACAATAAATTCGAATAATGTGTTTTAAATTCTATTCAGAATTAAAAACTGTAAAAATCGGATCAAGGAGCAGTTTAAAGTTTATTACTTTACAAACAATACACTAAATAATAGCTGTAGTCATATACTCTGTAAAATGGTGCAAAAGCTATGAATAATGAATTTATTGTCTTTCAAAAAATGATATTTTTACTATTCTTAAAAAAAGGTGTGCGATCGCACCTAAAGCACACCCTTTCTTTGCTTTGTGGTTTAAAAACATTTTCTTTGTTTCCTACTTTTATGGGGGAAAATTGGTGCACAAAGAGTATGAGCAAACCTTACAAAAAGTATAAGTAAAGAGACATATAGTAACTTTGTGTTTTACTTTTCATATTTATTTCAGAACAAGACATAATTACTTAGTTCATTATAATTTCACACTTTCAATGCTACAATAAGGAAAATATCTTAATATTTCAGACAAATTTTATCATAGTTTTCACGATGTAAGTATCATGTATTGCAATTGTAAAAAAAAATGTGTGTTTTTTATTTTTAACGTGTGGAAATTTCTATTTTATTTCAGATATTGCTTCAATTATTTATGAAAATGAGCCTGAGATGTTTAAGCAATAAATGATATTTAAATGCTGTGCACCATAAATATATATATTCTCTGGGATGGCTTCGAAGTCCAGACCTGTATCTACCGGGTACACTAGACCATTCATTTCTACAATAACCTCGCTGTCGTTATTCAGTTGTACTTTCAAGTCGAGGTCCTCATACTTCGGAGTTTCTAATCTGTCAATTTGGTTTTCTGAAAGAAAACAAGCAAAAGCTTTTATTTATTTTTTCTTTACTTTGTCTCAGAAAGTACAAAACACAGGCAACACAACGCTTGATATGATTAAAACGAACTAATATAGGAAAGAAACAACCTGCAGCTGTTCGTTATTGCAAAGGGACACCGAAATGAATGTCAAAGTACTGTCAGAGATTTATAACCAAATGTTTTAGGAAAAGAAAATTAATGTATATTTAAAACAAATTTATATATAGTTTTTGTGTGGTCCACCCACAGCTATGCTTTTCATGCAGTTGACAGGTAACATAAATGCCAATTTTTTCTCCATATGTCTACGACAAATATTTGTTTGATGTCCAGCATGCATTAATGCAAATGAAATTTACAAGGAAGCATTATCCGTGTTACATTGCTGACGATACCTTCTGGTGTCTGTCGCACGTGGGAGGTGACGTCATACACGCCAGAAAAGGTCTTACTCTCGTTGTGTTCATTCATAGTCATCGGCAGCGCACTGGAGAGATCTGAATGTAAATGTCATGTTACGTCTTAGAAACATGCTCGTAAGTTGGCAAGGTTGCTAGACATTATGGTAACATTCATTGATAAGGAAAATGTGTTATGTACTTTAAAGTTTTAATTATTTGTCCCACTTTTCATTCTGGCAAATTTGTGTTAAGTTTGGAAAACACAAGCTTACATACTTTTAGGTGGACTAGTGTTTGTGTGCATATAAAAAAATCATAATAACTAAGACTCTCTGATGATATTTTCAAACGGCTTTGTAGGGTCGCAGAAAATGCGTACGTACTTACATAATGTCTCTGTCTCTGTAGTATAATCTACAATTTCATACAGATTCTCCTTGGGTTAGTATGCTTTTTTGTCCATTGATGTTGTCCATTTTATTAACATGAATAACTTACTATTAATGTGAATTTTGAACACGTGAGCCGATAAGAATTTCTTGGAAATCATTTTCTTTTAAAACTACATCAAGTAAATATGAAATAAGGTATGCATGGTGCAAACATAGAGATTATGGCGTTCCTTATATTACTCGATATATTTTTAATCAAAGGTTGGAGGGTTACAAAAAAGACGAAGTTTTTGTAGAGGAACTCTGGCTAGGAAAATTATTTTATTTCCCAAGAGGAAAAAACGATTTCCTAACACCATCTTTTATTTATGACAAGAATATATATATCTGTTGATGTTATCAGGGACATATTTTGCCAAATATTCCATAACACTGTATTTCTATATTCTTGAGAACTAAATTAACTTGATACTACTGTACGTCACTCAGTAGATATGAGTACAACTATGACTTCTGAAGGAGAAAACATTCATTTTTATGATACATTAAAAGTTTTATCTTGATTTTATGTAACTTATTTCGATAAGTTTACCTTTAATGTAACACTTACATCATTATTTAACAAGTCATCATTAAAGCTAAATTCAATTTGAAATATGTAAATATATATCAAGAATACTTACAACAAGGTATATCCTTTAACGGCAAAAGTCAAACTTTCTCTCTTCAAAAGCAGAGGAGCAACATGCTTTTCTACATCTTCAAATGATATGCGATACTCTTGAGTCATGGGAACAGTTTCTAAGTCTCTTTTCTCCAAAAATCAACATGCTTTTGACCAAAGAAAATGTTACTCGTGTATTCATCTCCACCCTTATTAGATGATTGTAAAAGCAACCGATTAACGTTATTTGTGGACATAAAAGGTGTGGGGAGGGGGTCATCTTTTAGCTGTTGGTTGCTTTCATCTTCACTATTTGAAGTAACGGGTATAGTTTTAATTCGTGTTAAACGTAAAGCTAATTCTACATTTATGTTATCAAGAAAATTAACATACTCCTTCAACGTGTAAGTAGCCATTTCAAAGTATTCATAATGTATACATGATATTTTCAGTGAGAAAAAAGTTCTTAATTTCTAAAATCTCGGTGCAGTATGGAACAATTTGAATGTTTAAAAAAGAATTCAGTTTCAATGTCCTTTTTAACACCTACAGTAAATATACTAATTTCAGGGACACAACATTCCTTTGATAATCAACATAATTATGTTAAATATTTTCCAGTGCTAGACATAAATCTGAAACTAAGTTTCTTGTCTAACATTCCTTGGGTTGTTAGTTTATTTTCAATTCTACAGTGAATGTAAATATACAGCCACTGTATTTAATGCGTTTATTCTCAATGTAAATGATTTTTTTCCCGTTTCTATTTTAACTTTTCGATAAAACAATATCATCTTGTCAAAATGACAAGAAATTAAGAGGGTAAATGCAAGATTGAGTATTATAAGTAGTTAATCAGTTCAAACACCGCGAACCCAAATATTTAAGTAAATTGTTTCTCCCTTGTCTGTGAATTTTACCTTTGCCACTGAAATGGGTTTATTACGTACATTGATTGCACTATGGTACAACTTATTCAAGAAGTGGTTTGAATCAAATGTGGATTGGCAATTTACAAGATTACTTTGTTAAAAATCATTCTGATTCTATACACAGGTTTTCCGAAAATGAAATCAAAAAAGATAGAACAGTTCTTCATACACAATATCTATGAAGTCTTTGGAGACTGGTCTTCCAATAAACCGTTGCACTCATCTTGTTCCTTATGGCCGACCTCTTATTATATTCTTATGAAGCAGAATTTATTCAAAAACTTCTAAATGAAAAGAAAACTCTTGTTGTGGACCTTAGTTCGACATTTAGATAATGAAATATCCAGTTACATAATGAATTTTTAATCACATTATCTTACACATTCACACATCTTCTTTTAAATATTGATCATATTTCGTTATCTTCACCTTTTCGTCTTCTCGGACTAAGGATACGATTGTATTTTTTTTGTTACCAGAACGGACACTTGGTTCCTAAATATGCATTGTGAATATCAAGCCCAATTTTGAAATGAATAGTAAAAATGAAGACCATTGATATAACGCAGTTCATGATTCATTTATTTTGTACATGCACAAGTGTGTTTCATTACAGTTTCCGCGATCAAGAATTCAAATTCCAAATAGTATATCATTACCAAAGAGATTTTTTCATCCGACTTTAACATAATTCATTCATTTCACTTTCTCTCCATCAAAATTTCATTTTAAGATCTCATTTTCATTAAAAACTTGAGTTTATAACTTTCCTTTGTTTTCATTTTTATATAAATGTGTCATTATGCATGAAATTTATAACAATCAATCCAGCTTTATCAGAGAATTTTTCGATGTCGGGAATTCACTTGTAAGACACGACACTTATTGGATACCAGCCGTACTGCTTGGAGGACAGTTTACTTTCACGTGTCCATCCATATGCAAAACCGTCCTCGTTTTCTCCTATCTTCTGTTTGATGACTTGCCCTGTTTAATCCAGAAAGATTTTGTTATGATATAATTACAGATTATTTCGTTCCGCTTCGATGATTTTTGACGGAATGACCGTCTATATTGATAAGGGACTCCGTATTGTTTGTGTAATACTCTTAATGCTTGTTCATACTGAAAACTTTACATAAAGAAATATACATGTAGTACATGTACACGGAGAGCGAAATAAGTCAAAGGCATGCAAAACAAAAACATACAAAAGCTAATTAATGCCCTAAATATTTTGTGCAAAACAATTCATAAATCAAATGTTTTTGATTTAAAAGAGAACAATTTGAAGTTTTTATCGGAAAATACAAAATTAGGCTAATTTGTACTTTCTGTGCGAATAATCATTAAGCACACTCTACGTTTGGCCAAACCAGAAGCACTTTAATAGCGCACTTATACTGACTATAACGACATTTCATGATTACTTGACATGCCAGAGTTTGCCAGGAACACAATGTGAATCAATAAACATTAAGCCAAAATTTTTCAAACAAATTGTTTTTTATAAATTTTTTTTATATGAGTTTGCATTGATTTTTGTTGTAGTTGTTTTGTTGTTTGTTGTTGTTGTTGTTATATATAAAGAAAAAAACACACACACACAGAATACAAATAAGCAAATTACACTTTGTACTTCAGTCTATAAGGTGTCACCAATTATTTCCATTTTGATACATGCAGTTAGATTTGTTTGACATAAAGGCTCAAAATCCAAGTCAAATACAAACATGTACCAGATTTTCTCAACTTCAATTATTTCAATGAAAATTAAGGAAAATTAGAAACCATTAACCCCGATCCCACGTGAAAAAAGAGACCATGTGCCACATCGCTCACCCAAGCATTTTGGCTAAAGAAAAGCTAAAATTTAATCAGTTAAATACTGAAAACTTTAAAAACTGAAAGTGGTTCCACTCTACCCCCTCCCAGGGGGAGGGGGCATGATTTGAACAACTTACATGTACATCTACACTAACTGAGGATGCTTCCATTTAAATATGACTAATCATGGCTTTGCTGTTCATGAGAAGATTCTTAAATAGCTTCCTTTATATTCCTATGTAAAACATTTATCGCCTATTGTGGCCTCGCCCTAGCTTGGGGGTCATGATTTGAACGAATTTGAATTTACACTATGTAATGAAGCTTTTACATATGTTTTATCTTTTCTGATCCAGTGGTTATTGATAAGAAAATTCTTGAAAGATGCCATTAATTTTTTACTAATTCTGAATTGTCTCCAATTGAAAGAGCCGAGTCCTTCTTTTGAACGAAATTGAATTCCATTCACCCAAGGATGCTTTGTAGCAAAGTGGTTGAAATTGATCCAGTGGTTCTTGAGAGGAAGTCGAAAATGTGAAAAGTTTACAGACAACAAACGACAGACAGACGCCGGACTCACTTCGATCAGAAAAGCTCACTTGAACCTTTGGCTCAGGTGGGCTAAAAACCAGGAAACATATATTCGCATAAATTAGTGATCATTCCAGTAGTTTTGGAAGGTACGAGTAATTATAGAACGGAACATTGTTACTTTTGCAGCTTCAAATCCCCTTGCATCTAATTATCATAATTTTTTTTTTGTCAATCTTAAGTGTGAAGGTTAGATTTAATATTCTGTAATTTTTTGGGAATTGAACTTATGTTTAATATCCCTATGCTATCACGCACGAACCGAAGACTGATTTTGTATAGGTTATATACCTGGACTTCTGTGTGCTCCCTGACAGTTTATTGTATCTTCAAATTTACAATGCAATATACATGTAGATATACATAAAGTATTGTATAGGTTATGGAGGAGTTGACAACTTATAAAACAAAATGTCTTTCATCACTGACATATGTAATTACCTTTCTTCAGATTGAGTTCGTTACTGGTCCGAGCTTTGTAATTCCTGTTGGCAATTACCCGGATGTTCCTCAATGTTCCTATATCACCATCTACAAGAGTTGGCACCATACTCTCGGGGTGATCAACATTCAATCGGGAGTACAGGCGGACATTTTTTGAATCTGTAAAATGTTTCAGCTCAGCTGAATCATAATGATTAAGGGGATTAAATTTAACTTATTTCTTTTTAGCTGTTTATATAGTAAAAAGGAGATAATCACTTTGTAAAGCACATCTGAGCGCAAGAAAATAAATTCTGTTCGTTAAAATCTTGTCAACCAAACACAAGAGAATGTACCAAATTCCACGACATGATTTCTGGAGGAGGACGGATCTTCAAACCCTTCATCTTCATCATCATCGTAAATGTTACCAAAATTTGATTTAGCGGAATTTTCATCACTTCTCTCGTCGCTCTCATCATTGCTGTCTACCACAGATGAGTCTTCCTCGTCGCTTCTGAGCAGACAGACTTTCTCTATGCTTTTGCTAGGTCCCGCAACTTCCTCGTTTACACAAAAAGGCTTCACTGAGAATGGGGTCGGGAGGCGACATTTTGTGTCTTTTACTAATTGAATCGTTTCTAGTTCAAGATTTGACTCTTCTGTTGACCATTCTGTCAACACATGGATAAGATAAAAGATTATAATGCATTTTGTAAGGAAATTCAATACAAGAATATATACTAATTATATGTTTGAAGCAATTTTGAAAATGTGTAAATGTGAACCATTTTAGAAAAAGAATTTAAGGATTTTTCAACATCTAAGTATACAGATATAAAGTATTAACAAACCTTTCATGTCTTTTCAATAAAAAAAGTACTCCTAATTTTGAAAATATCTAAGTCTGCCTTTTTCAAGTTTAAATTATATTTATAAAATATGATTACACATCTAAATTGAAGTATCTGGACATTTACGCTGGTTGTATTTAAAATCGTTGATTTCAGTATACCTGACACCAGCATGGATGGCTTTTTCATGACAGCTGTTTTATTCCGATTCGTGTTAGAATCTGAGGGACAAGAAGTAATGCTCTGAGCTGAATGAATGCTCTCTGATTTCTGAGGCTGGTTCTCCAGTTTTTCACGGGATAGGGAACGCAGCTGTGGGATCTTTTCTCTCATGGTTTGCACTCTGTTTGTCGATGGTGATTTTTTAAAATCAATGATTTATCTAAATTAGGTGAACATCCAAAATTCATTTAAGATTTCATTTTATAGGAATAGCCTAGAATATTCTGTGTCTCGGGAAGGCCCTCGCTAGAGTTTGAAAATGTTCCATATATAGTTGCAATACCAAAACGGAGTGGATCCACACTTTTTGGAGAATATATAGTTGTATACTCTTGTTTTTCTTTCTCCAACACACAGCACGAATCGTTTCCGTATGAAAATATCATTTTAACGATAGATTTTTTTTTTATTTCGGATCCTGAATTGACTTAAATATCTTAAACGTCACCTTAAGTGGGTTTGATGTCCCAGACAAGTCTTCACCATTTGAATTTGCAGTGCTAGCACTTGTATCTATACGGGTTATTTATTAGTACCACAAAATTAATGTTGATAAATTGTATACCTGTCCCTGGCTTTCCTCCCTTGTTCTGTGAGGTCCAGATCCTGAGTTCGTAAAGATGGATTGGTCACCAGAAACATCTACAGCACCACATTGAATATGTTATATAATACAGTATAACGGCTTAACAATGATTGTCATTTCATGTTTTATTAATTATAATACAGGTCAAACTAAAATGTGTTCATATCAAGGAAAGAAATTAAGGATCCTCTATATATGCACTATAATAGAGTTCTTTGTTGCTTTTTTTGTTGTTGTTGTTTTGACATTGGAAAATTATATTGTTCTAAAGTGTAATTATTACGTTTTTCTATTTCATTTAAACATAGGGTACCAATCATTTACCTCCAGCATAAATGCATCTTCGCTAGCCAAGTGTCCGATTTGTTTACCCTCGAATCGAGCACTTGGCTAGCGAAGATAGCTTAAATGTTCAAAGAAAAGGAAGTATTTATGAACAGAAATTACTTTTGTATATATAAATGTGGAGAATACATGCAAATAAAGTTTTCAATTACTAGTAATCCATATTAGCCTTATAAAATGTTTAATATTGCTGAAGTTGATTACAAATTGAGCAATACACTGTAATTTTTTGTATCCAAAGGCAGATCACTCTAACTGCAAAAAATAACAGATTAAGTACTCTTTAATGTGCAGTATATAGAGGGTCCTTAAAGGTAGAACCATTAGTATATGTAATACGTCGAAGGCATTTTACATACATCAAACCCCATCACAAGCCCTGCTTTCTTGAGTCTTGCTCTGTTCTCTGTTTTATCCCAGTTCTGACTGTGAATTTCCTCAATATTTATTGTTTGCAGGTTCTTGGATATTTCGGGTACCTCTTTAATACTGTAAAAAAAAAAAAAAAGAAGAAGAAATCAGGTTTATAAACACCTCATTATTAATTGTATGGTCAGCAAATATTTTAAAAATGTTCTAATTTAAATTTGCAAAATGGTATAAAATCCAAGAAATATCCAATTTCACAATATTGAAAATGAAAAAAAGGGGGTTGCGGGTCGCTTGTTATAACTGTTTTCGATTACACCAACCTTTCACGGATTACATCACTTGGGGGGATGATTTGCTTTACGTATTGAATAATGACTTCATGAATTACTGCAAGCCTTCTTTTATCCAATTCTTTGAGCTCTTGAAACATTTTCTTCAGAGTCTGGGGGAATAGTTGTTTATGCATTATTTTAAATTTCATATCAAATAATGAAAACAAATTAAAAGGAAAAAATAATTTAAGATGTTTTGATATTTTTTTTTTCGGATAAGAATTTTTCATCATGGTTTAATTATTTTCCAAACTAAGTATTAACCTTCTTTTTGCTAGTTATAAGGTCCTGAAGTTCTGCATCGTCTTTTAGGCGCGCCGCAGATGTAGTCTCGATGCGTTTTCGTAAATGAGACACTTGAGCATTGATGGAATCTAGTTTGCGCATGCCCCTTGCAGAACGCCTTCCATCTGTAATTCTACTTCGTTTAGACAGTTTTTGTTCCAATTCGTCTAAGCGAAATTTCATGCTGTCTAAAGACTAAAACACCAAAAAAAAAAATCTTCCATCACATTATTGTTATTACATTTATCCTTCAAAGTTTTATATGAAGTATGTCAACTGTATTTGAAACAAGACATGAGACACCGACTGACTCTTTCAAACACATTTTACTTACCTGTGTTTGTTTTTTAACAGTATTTTCCAGTTCATTACGCCTCATGTTGAATGAATTGAATTCCTCCTCTATTTCCTTCAGCCTTGTTCTTTTACTAGTTTCCTGCTCCATTCTAGTGTGTCTACGGAAAATTGAAAAAGTTTTCAAACAAAAAAAAAATGCGCGTAAGAAATACATGTATATGTGTAAATGTATTGCACAATTTTAGAATTTCTGTGACTATTATGTAAAGAACTACCATTTAGTGTTAACAAATTCTAAAATGGTAAAACTATACATTATACATGTATGTACATGTATACCATCAAATGGAACCAACAATTTTTAAAAAGATTCTTCACAAATCATGGAATCTAAATATGTAACTTTCTAAATAGGACTGGACTTACTTTATAATGTTTTGATAAGGACCTGTTTTTGACATCAGTTTATCATAGATGTTTCTATGGATCTCGGCAGCACGGTCTGCCTCTCCAGTCAAGACAGGCTTTACGAAATCAAAAACTCCTTTGCCTTCATACTCTTCTGCAAGTAAACAGTCAAACAAATATTGCCTTGATAAAGATGAATGAGATGCACAAAGTTGGAAAGTCTCTAAAAATTGAAAAAAATGATGGTGTCGAAGCATTTTTTTTAGGAATACCATAGGGATTAACATAAACCACTTTACGATGAATCACCTGGCTTTCTACCATATCAATATTTCTCTGCATGAGAGGGGAAGGGGGATAAAATTCTCTAATTTAATTTTTACAGACTATCACAACTTTAAATGTATTTTTCATATCAGTTCATTGAAAACAAAATGACCGGATGTACTTATTTACAAGACTCAATTTCTGTTCTAATTTCATGTTATTTAAATGTGCTGATTTTCAACTTACCGCCACATTCTTCGCTTTGGACTTTGTCCTTCCAGCTTTCAATTTCCTGAAGATATGTTAACTCTGCGTGTGCGCGGTTCCAAATCATCAATCCTATAGAATCCTGAAGACTAAAATAAGGAACCAATATGTCAAAAATTGGATATTTCATAAAATTTCTTCCATCGATGTAGTAGTAACTGCTTGCTTACAGAACAATTCGTGGGGGGGGGGGGGACTAATGCATCAATACACTTCTTCAATTTAATTATTAATTTTTATGGATGATATGCATATATGTTCAGAGATTTTTATAGTTTCTCGACATGATTTAACGTATAATCGCCGTAATGTACCTTTTCTCTCCAGATCAATCTTTATTTCACTTACCGTATCGATTCTTTATTCCGTTTAATACCCTCCTGTACTAAGAAAAATTCTGTTGTATCAGCCATCGTAGATTGTGGTAACCAACATTGATTGAAGGCTTATTTTGACGTTAACATTGTGACGTTACAGTGCCTATGACGTCACAGTAGAAACTTGGAATGTAGGAATTTTTTTTAGAATTACAAAGAATTTTTTAATTTATTTATTTTATTCATTTTTAGGTATTATTATTTTCTTTTTTAATTTATTTATTTTATTTTTTCTTGTTTATTATATTATTATTGCTAGCGCTCTCGAGCGCTAGCAACTACGTTAGTCTATATTTCTGGAATACGCATGCTCGACTTCACGGTCGGGCATTCTGGGAAAACTACTGAAGATACACTGTACGATAATAATTTCGTTTTATCATTAAAAAATAGACATGATCCGAAATCTGAATTTCTAAATTTATTGTCTAACTTTAGATTAAAAGTACAAGAAAAATTTGGGTCATATAATGCCAAGATTGTAGAGATCAACTGGTAAAACCTAGCTTTCCTTACAGCTAACCATGTACATGATAATTCCGGCAAGCTCAGAAAAAAAAACCAGGAAATCTTTCAGAGTATGTCAGACAGACACTTGAAGCGATTGATACAATGCATTAGCACTGATATATTATAATTCTTTAATTTTTCATTTTTCCTAGTTTAATTTGCATTTCAGAATCCAGATTTAATGTTTGAACTTAAAAATGATGCAGAATTTTATAAATAAAGGTCCAGACCAAATTCTGCTCAAAAGCTCAGGACCGAACTTCCTAAAGACATGCACATCCCCCCAACACCACCTCCAGTGTACCACTGTGTCTTCCTATTAATAATTAGGGACGAACATTTGATTCTGAAGGGGGGGGGGGGGGGAGACAGATTTTGGAAATAAATAATCTGTCCTCAAAAATAGTTGAAAATAAATAACTGTCTTTCCACGACCGGCAGAAAATAAATAATCTGTCCTTGACTATTGCTACTTATCCCCCCCCCCCCCCCGTCCCCGTTTGAATTTTTTTTTTGTTTTGTTTGTTTGTTTGTTTGTTTTTTCAGTGAAGAAGAAAATAAATAATCTGACTTTGATCATCTTGAAAATAAATAATCTGTCCTTGACAAATACAAATACAAATATTTTATTGGCACAAACACAATTACAGTAATTGGTAAAGGCCCATACAGAACACATTAATAAGTATAATAATACAGTAGAACACAACTAGAATACAAACAATTGGTGTAGCAAATAATGTAGTGTACTCATCAGATACTAGGTGATTCATAACAATGTAGTTACTCATTTATAGCTAGAACATTTTTTCTAATATCAGATATTTGACATATAAATGAAGATAATATTTTAAGAACCCTTTTACACTTGGTTTTCATCAATGATTTTAACAAATTGTCATTATTATGGATTGTTTGGTTGAAATTAGGGAAAGTAGATAATTTTGTTTTGAATATTTTTCTCTGTGCTTCATATTTCGGACAGAGCAAAATGAAATGTTTTTCATCCTCAATATCAAGGTTTTGACAAACTTTACACAACCTATCATTTTTATTAATTTCAACATATCTACCTTTTTCAATTTCTAAATTATGTGCACTTAACCTAATTTTTGCTAAAAATGATCTATCATGCAGTGACTCTAGTTTATCAACATAATGTGCACGTTTATTATTAAAACAGAAGTTTCGATAGAATGGTAGTTTTGAGGAGTTCATAATACTTGCATTTTGTTCTTGTAATATTTGATCATGAATACGTTGCTTAACAATGCTAAGCACTGGTTTCAATGACATATTAAAATTTGTTAAATAAGAAAACCCTAAGTTATTAAGACAAGTCCTTAAATATATAGACCATGTGTTATTTTCTTTAGTTTTGATAAAAATATCATGTGCCAATGTATGTTCAAATGAAATTAAATGATCAAGGTATTTGATAGCAAACATAATAATTTTTGATCTGACTGGGAGTCTCCCGAGTTCAGAATAGCAAACATTATTTGAAGTTTTGCAATGAACTCCTAAGATTTCTTTCAAAAATTTAATATGAAACTTTTCATGAGATGCCGAGCCTGAATTTTTTATGACCGACTCAATACCCAAAACTTCGCTTCCGTATAGCAAAATGGGAATTACCATGGTATCAAACAATTTTTCAAGTAATCGACAGGAATTATGTATTCCAAGGGTTTTCTTTATCTTGAATAAAGCTTTTCTTGCTTTATCTACCAACTGAGCTGCAGCAAGGTTAAATTTGCCATTACATTTAAGATTTATACCAAGATAGCAATATTTGTCAACAGTTTCAATACATATACCATTTATAGTAAAATGGTTTTAAAAAGTTTTACCATTAGAATTAAATACTATAATTTTTGATTTGGACGTGTTAATCTGTAGCTTCCAATTAACACAATAATTTTCAAGAATATTCAGGCTACATTGTAGACCATCAGGACTACTTGACAACAAAACTAAGTCATCTGCATATAATAAGCAGTGTATTTTTGTATCTTTTACTAATATTGGATCAGAGTTAATACTGTTCAATTCATCAACAATTTTGTTTATGAAAATGTTAAAAAGCAAGGGACTTAGTACATCACCTTGTTTGACACCTCTTTCATATATAAATAGTTCACTTAACCCCTCATTAAACTTTATTTTGTTCATGGTGTTCGCATACATAGAATAGATCACATTGAAAATTTTCTTTGGAACACCATTTGTTAGAAGTATGTAAAATAATCCTATTCTCCAAATCGTATCAAATGCTTTTTTCAGATCAATGAATGCTGCATAAACTTTTTTCTTTTTGAGTTTGTAGTGGTCAATTATTGATTTTATAGAAAATATATGGTCAGCTGTTCTGCTGTGTTCCATAAAGCCAATTTGATTTTTGCTAATCTGATTATTATCTAGAGTAAATTTGGTTAATCTCAAATGTATGATCTTATTGAATACTATCCCCAAGTTTGAGCTTATTGATAATCCTCTATAGTTGTTTGGATCAGATTTACTACCTGTCTTATGCAGTGGGACGATAAATGTTTCATTCCATATTTTAGGAAACTCCCCCTTTTCAATTACAAAGTTAAAAAGTTTAGTAAGTGACTCGAGCAAAGTATGTGTACTATTTTTTATCATTTCATTTGAAATTAAATCAATAGCTGGGGATTTACCATTCTTCAGGGATTTAATGGCTTTTTGTATTTCGCTAGATGTGATTGCACTATTCAGTACATTTGTGTCAAAAAATGACTCTTGTTTTTTCTTTAGCTCTTCAAATTTGTCAATAATTTCCCTTTGAAATGAATTAAAATTTGAATTATCTAAAGATAATTTTTTAAAATGATCCTTAAACTTATCATGGGGTAATACATCATCAATTGGGCACTTTGATGAACGATCAAGTTTGTTAATTTCCAAAATGATTTAGGATTGGAATCAAGGGAGTTTTCTAGTTCATTACAAATCTTTTTTTTGCATTGTTTCTCCTCGTATTTATATCGACGTCTGAAACGAGAGCGAAATGAATAAAATGCTTTTCTGTATTCAGCATTAAAAGGGAATTTGTTAACTAATTTTTCATAGTTTTTAACTGAAGTTCTTAGTTCTTCACATGAGTCTGAAAACCATGATTTTTTGTTATGTTTCTTTTTAAATTTTCTACAATGTATTTGTTTATTACTCCTTTTGACAAATTTGGCTGACATGTGGGCTGTTTCAATTAAAATTGAGTTAATTTCATCAACCATATTATTAACATTATTAAAATCTTTCTTCATGACATTGGTGATTTTACTTTTTATAGTTTCACTTTGAATGTTAGATTTGAACAACTTAATGGCTTGATCAGTCCAAATGAATTTGCCTGGTAAAGGAGCAAGTTTTGATGAAGGAGTGGTACACTCTGTGTTACACTTAGAAATTAAACCACATACAATTGGACAATGATTTGACAAAGCAGTAAAATCCTCTACTTGAAAAAATCCTATACATTGTAAAAGTTCATTTGATACAATGGTATAATCTACAAGGCTACACCCAGTATAAGTAAAACATGTTGGTCTACCAAATAAATCACATGTAGTTCGACCATTCAGGATTCTTAGACCTGCTTCTTTACAAACATTTAAAAGATGTTTACCACTATTATTTATTCTTTTGCTATCTAGATTATTTCTAGGCAAATTTATATCATGTTTATAAAAAACATCATCATTATTTGAATGATTAAATTCATCATGTAAAACAAAATCAGGCATAGTATTGGTGTATGCATTAAAATCACCCTGAATTATTATATCCCCAACTTTGCTAAATTTAACTATGTCCTCTAGCAGGACTGAATAAAATGTTTCAATATTATCTACAGTACAAGATGTACTTTCAGGGGATAGGTAAATAATAGCTAAATAAATATCTCTTGGCAGACCAAAAAACTGTTGCTCAAGCTTTATCCAACATATATCTGAATTATTTGATTTTACTTTTGTAATACCTTTGGAAATGGAGCTTTTGGCATAAATGCTTACCCCACCAGAATTTCTCCAGGATTTTTTGTTTTTTTTCTTGTTTTAGCAACAATTAAGTCAAATCCTGGCAGGTCATTGCACTTATCATCATTTTCTAACCAGGTTTCAACTAAACCAAGGATATGAAAGTTTGAAATTATTTGCAAAAAATTACTATCATTTTGTTTGCAATTAGAAAATCCTTCAATATTCCACATTGCTAACTGGAGGAGTGATGATTTGTCAAATTTTTTTGATATTTTGGAAGGGGACATAACTTCAGAAAAATAGAAATTGGTTGTTTTGAATGTTGGGAATATATGACTAATTGACATGAAAAGAAAGGTGACTGGCATGAAAATAAATAATCTGACTCGAAAAATTTTGCCAGACCCCCCACCCGACCCCCCTCCTCAGAATCAAATGGTCGTCCCCTTAGTCGATTCAGCAAATTAAGCCAATAATTAAGATATCTAATTCTGTGGTCTAGCTCACCTATCTTTTTAGAAGATAAGCTTGTTATAACTTAAATTTATTTTCGACGAAAAATTCATGATCGGGTTCGGTGTTTGATATTCAACTTTCATTTTATCATGCTTGATCATGTGATCTGCACAAATCAGAGGTAAACAAATTGAGGAGGTAGCCGCTTCTGAATGCTGGTAAGAAACTAAGTTAACGTCTTTGGAAAGCCCCCTTTTAGAGAAAAATCAAGCCGTATATTTTTGTTGTCCCTTTTGCTTTATAGTGTTTATCTTGATAGTGAACAGGGCTCATTCGAGGTTTGTTGGGGTTTTTTTTCTCATTTTATTCTCATACATCATTCAAAACATCAAGTTGACTAATTTTACACAATTTAAAAAAAAGTTATGTCAGAATATAAACTAAAATCTTTGGACTTCGGTTCTGTATTCTCAATTTTTAAAAAAAAATGGTTATTTGAAATTGACCAAGATATGTAAAAATTTATATTACTTAGATCTCCTTGCTCCTTTTCTATGTAAATTATGTAAATTGTATCGTGTTTTTTGGGGGTTTTTTTGTTTTTGTTTTTTTTTTTTTGTTTTTCCATCCACATTTTCCATCATAATATTAATTAGTTTGGAAGTTAGATATCTTTTAGCTACAGGTGTGCAATAAACAAAATAATGGATGCATGGATTTGGCCTATTTTTGTTGTAAATGATGCAAATATCAAATTTCTAAAATATTTAGATACTGTAGTTCGACTTTCTATGACATTCAAATTCTGCATTTTTGCCATTACGCTTATAAATCTATACAACTTTTTATCACTTTAAAGTACCTTACTGAGAAATTTTGATTAAAAAATTAAAATATATGCAGTTAAACTTATTCATTTTACTTGTATAAACATGACTTAAGTTGTTTTATGATTTATTTTTTTTTAAAAATCAGTCCTGAGGTAGAGAAGATAAATTATATTAGAATTGTTATTTCTTTAGATATAATTTCTAATGCTTACAACGTATATAGTTTTTTCCACCTCTGTATTCTTATTATCAATGTGTTCCAGTTATGTTTATGCAGATTGAAGCATTTTATATCTGTTATATCTTTTTAAGATGTTTATGAAGAAAAAAAATTGGAATTGCTTGATCCAGAGACCATGGAATTTTCACTAAGAAATTGGGTTAGTCAAATGTCAAAATAAAACATAAAATAAAACTACATTATGGCAAGGTTATAACAATTATCTTAAAGAATTTCAGAGATACATTGTTTTCATTTGTTATTCCGGTGACTCTGTCTCAAAAAGTCAAGCAAAGCTTTTTTATTTTGTGTTTCAGCCTTTATTTTAACTGAAGTCTGGACATAAAAACTTTTGAATAATCATCCATTATTATGAAGTTAATCTCATTAGAATTAGCTAAAAGAATTAAAGCTTAAATGTAAATACTGATACATAAAAGACACTGAACCATATAGATACTTGAACTATACTTGATAAATATATATATTATGACTTATGATTGATGATTATTTCTATACAGATTGGACTTTTTCTCCTCGGCTCTATCAATAATTTACCCTATGTCATTGTCACCTCTGCTGCAAAAACAATTGCCGACAGGTTTGTAGTGGAAAATTTCCTTCCTGATTTCACTATGTACCTGTATTTCACAAAAGGATATGAAAATAAAAAGTTTTATATGTTTTTATTTCCTTAATCATTTCCATCAAAAACCATTCTGATTGGCTTCCTTATTTTTCCACAGCTATCCTGCAAATTAAGTAAATGTGATTAATGTAAACTGCACACTTAAATTATCTTAATCAATCATTTCCTATATTCAATAAAAAAAAAACTATTAAAAGTCATATTGTAGTGATTTGGTCTGACATTTTTGCATATTTTAGACAGTGTTATGCTAGTTACAAGTATGGTCAAAATTAATTTAAAAATAACCACCAATGTCCACATGTGACCCTGTTTTAGTTTTTAAAAAAAAGTAAAACTTGCTGTACAGCCATTTTTGTTGTTGTTTTCAATTCTCTTCACAACAGGATGTTTTTCTGTAATGGTGTTACACGCATTGCTTTGTTTCTGAGACTGGCTAGAGCTCTTGGGGTAGCCAAATCGCAGTTAATTTAATCATATTCTCTTTTTCTTTTTTCCCATGCCATCTAGAATTTACAGTTTTCATAATCACAATACTTTGGCTAAGAAGGAAAAAAAAACACTCATCTTTCAAGTATTTCTTCTAAAAATACTAGTATATACAAAGTACTAACCATATCACTTTAATCAATGTTCCATAAATTTTATCAGGATTAATAATCAAGCATGATTTATGATAATAATCATTTCATTTAGCTTTGACAAAAGAAATGATGTGGGGGTGGTGTTTGGTGCCAATGTAGCTCTGTCTGTCCTTGTCAAAGGTAAGACAACTATATACACTGTACATGTGGCGGTCAAACGGGTTCGATCGCCGGTAGCCATGCATATAGATGTAGCTCAGTTGGTAGAGCACCTGACTGGAGATTCAGTGGGACTGGGTTCGAATCCTGGTCTGGTCCGTCACATTTTTTTCCTCTCCTGTTACATGTACATTGTGTAAGAACTCTTATATAAGTGTATGTGTGGGTATGTGTTTTGATTTGCATTAGATGAACATTAAATCAATATATCCTAATAAAATTCCTGCAAACTCTTTTAGCAATCAATGGCCTATTTTTACTGAAAGTGCCATACTGGATCAGATATGTGGTGAATGCTGGGCTAATGGTAATAGGTAAGTACAACATCACACTAAAACTAAACATTTTAAAATGATTAAAAGAGAGCAAAGCATATGCTTAAGGACTCATGCTACAAACAATAAATTGGATGAATAAGTTGGCACATGTTTTTTTTTTGGATTTATTTTGGTTGTAAAGGATGCATAAATCAAATCTCTACAATATTAAGAAAATGTAAACTTTCCATGATGCTCAAATTTCTTCCTTTTTTGCCATCACACTTATAAATCTATAGATTTTTTATTATCTTTTTTATTTTCATTATTGAAAAACTTTGAATACAAAATGAAACTTTATACTGCTAAACTTATTCATTTTACTAATGTAAACATATATTTAGTTGTTATTTTCATAATTTTGGACGAAACAGTGTCTTGTAGGATCCGTCCTTAAGGGTATTCACACTAACATTGAGGATTTGAATAACTACAAATGTCTTGTTTTTCCTTATATTATGGCCCTTTTTATTTCCTCCACTTAAACAAAATGTTGTGGTTTTTAAAGCCTATCAAAGGCATTCACTTTTCTTCATTGTTTGCAGTTCTCTTTGATTTGGTTTTATAATTTCCTTGAATTGACTGTACACACCTGTATCAAATACATTGTAATGCAGGTAAATGATAACAATTCAACGTTAATAAAGGGAAAATTTATGTTAATATTTGCTATTTGCAGAGAATTAACATTAAAACTGATTACAGAATAATTATTATTTATCATATAGTAGCGTTTACGATGTTTTGTTGATTATAGGCTGCTTTTAGTATGTCACATTGTTTTCTATTCCACTTTGCCTATCTTTATTGTTTTTTTACTCTGTTGTTATGTTGGCAAACTTGGCAACCCAAATGAGTGCATTAGATCTGAGTGAGGTCTGACTGTTTTAATTTGAAATTAACATTACTTGCTAATATCTACAATAATACAAAACCGATAGTTTTAATCTTTTTATTTTTAGGCTTGATAGGAGTTGCCTTTGCTTTTGATTTCTGGTTTGCAATTGTCTGCATTGTAAGTATCTGGTTTGGACTTCTAGCATTTCACAAATGGGATATTTCTTTTCATATGAATGTCAAAAATATTTTTGCTTTAATTTTATGTCTTTCCTACATCACTTGTTTTTTTTTATTTTTTTATTTTTTTTTTTTTTTTTTTTGAGAAATTTCTCATTTGTTATCTCCATGTCAATGTAAGCTTTCAGAATCAGCAGTAATGATTGCTTTTGTTTTATTATTATTTTTATTCCATGAATTAATCAATTTATAAATTACACTTGAAGATATATATAAATAGTGTCTCCTTTTATGTACGTGTATGTATTAAATGATTCTCTTCATGTTCCATCTCCAAAGGAAATGAATATCTACACGTATTTTCAACTCCTTAAGAGCTTTTTTACAGTTTTGCACTGACATCGTTGAAAAACAATCTTTGAAAAACTCAAAAAGTCCGTTTCTGTGTAAATGTAATAGAGAGGTCATATGTTCTGCGGTGAAAAGTAATTCCTACCAATCACCATAGAAGACGTTCTTATCTCTCAAATTAAACCCGTCTCTAAAATCTCTGAATGATTTCCCAAGCAGTGTTCCTCTCCCATAGATCTTTTATGCGTCTAAAATGAGCTCAACTGGTCTCTCTGTAACCTCACTATGATTTCTCGGACATCTCAACCTTAATGTGTTCAAAATATATTGCATTCTTTAAAAGACCTTTGAGAGATCACTGGGAGATTGACAAGATCGTTGAACGATGTTATTGCACTACTTGTTCAATTCTTGAGAGACTTCTTTCCCCTGGTGATCGCTGAGAGACTGTTTATGGTAAAGTCAAAATTTAGGAAAGACGAGAGAGACTGTGGAGAGACCTAGAGGGAGATCCCCTTTACACAGATGTGGCGATGTTGTTGATTGCTACCATCTTGCAAAATTATCAAGATTTCTCATCGATCTTTCAACAGTTGCCCAGCCATCACCATGATCTCCAAGGACTTCCCAGAGACCTCCACAGTCGCCATGGTCTCCATAGTTTTGACTTTACTCAAACCAGTCTTTCAACGATCAGTGGGGATGCAGTCTCTCAAGGAACGCCTAAGATTCACCCAAAAGAGAGCAAAAAGATCTCTAAACAATCTGCTGAGTGATCTCTTAGAGGTTTCAAAACGCAAAATAGACGTCTAAATGTAGAGATGTCTGCTAGATCATTGGGAGATCACACAGAGATCACCTGAGCCTACTGGAGACTGCGTTGGACTTTCATCTACCTGAGAGATCTTGGATATGTGTGAGGTCTGGGAGAGACTGCTTTGGAAAGATCATCAATATTTCATCTCATAACAAACCTCATTATTATCCCCATAAACAGTTACCCAGAAACAGACTTCGAGGCTTTCAGAGATTGCTGAGAGGTCGGATAAATTTTAAATTGCCCAAAAGGTATCTCCATGTGTTTTAAGAGTCTTTACATTTACTGACCTTACATGTGCATCGGTAAAAAGGATAAAAGTATATATTTTTTAAAAAATGCTTTGTGTATGATTAAATTAAAATCTGTCCATGTTTGCACTAGCTCAGTAATCAGTTTACCTAATAGGATTTGCATATACATGTATTATATTTGAAAACGTCTGCGTGTATTTTTGAAAATGAAATGGGAGTACATTTTTTATTAATTAGGTAGTGGTGGGTTCCTCAGCAGCCTTTGGTGAAAAGTAAGTATACAGAAAATGTTGGATATTGAATACATTATTGCATATCAGTGTATCATATCAAAATTAGTTGACAAAACTGACTATCTACGTTTGAATTGTTAATTAATTTATTCACTGCATTATTTACTAATAAACAATTTTGTTTGTTAAAAAACATTTATGTACTTTTCGATGATCAAGTGAAATAAATTGTGTTATCCGTGTATTTGATAACCAAATATTTGTTTGTTAATTATGTAGATAAAAGTAATAAATATATAAACTTATCGAAGTTCAATAGTTGTAATGATTTGATAGTTTAATCTGCACTTCCTTTTTTAGGACATACTGTGAATTGATAACCAACTTTTGTTCATTAATTTTGTGGGAGAAAATATTAGATATACAACCTTTGGAAGTTAAAAGATAAAGATAAAACAAACAAATATTTTTGTGGCGTTACATGTCAAATACTTTATTTCATTTGTGGATGGAATGAGATGCCATCACAGACACTTGTTTCGTATACGGGGTACCTCCTACTTATTTTTACCAATGCCATATAACAAACGTACTTTTTGAAGAAAAAAATCTTTTCGTAATAGTTGGGTATTTACAATGTCACAGTGCACGTATCGTAACCAAATATCCCTGAATCTGAGACAACCCAGTACTTTTTTTTTATTCATTGACACAAATTAACTTGCTCAGCAAAACAAAGTTTTGATGGTCCTGCAAAGGCACGACAAAAATCTCTACCATTCACTTCAAATGTTTAATGGACTTTTGAGCTCGATTACTGTTTGTTATCTCCACATATTTCATTCTAATAATGGAATTTCAGTAAAACAAAATCTGTGTCCCCCATTTTGTATTTGTTATAAATTACTATTAAACTCTACATATTGAAGGATTATTCTATAACATTTATATAACATTTAACATTAATATTAACATCATGTATTTTAGTTACAAAAATAATTTTACATAAATAGGAATAATTATAAAAATAGTGATCAGTGATTTTATTTTTGTAGCGTGGCCCTCGGATATTTACGTCTTTTCCCCAGTAAAAGTGTCAATGCCTGGTCTAGTGGGACAGGCATGGCGGGGATCTTAGGCTCTGCCATCTACATTATCTTCGGTAAGACGTGAATTCAAAGTCACTTGACTTTTTGCATGTTATACGTTTGTTTAAAATTTACTTCCCTGTAAGAAAATGATATAAAGTAAGTCTTGTTTGATTTCTATATACATGTAATTCATTTTCCATTTTCAGCGACTACTTTGTGTATCGTGAATATCAAATAAGAACTTTGAACAAAGAAGTTGCATGTATATATAGAGAAAAATTGTCTTAAACGGATATTTGTTCCCTTTTTCTTTATTCAAGGTTGTTCTATAGGAGAAAGCAATAAAACTTCGCAATTGAAAACTTTAACAAAGTGAGTGATGTCAAATTATAGCTGTTTTTGAATATGGGCTCTGAGTTGAGAAGGGAGAAATCACATTGTGCTATCACCGTAATGTATATACAGAATTAATTTTTCACCTGACTAGGTACGCTTTCCTTCTGACGTTACCAGCTGTAGCCGTGTATCTCATTGCGTATTTTTTCGTCATCAAAGCGCCTAAAGAAGACGACACTGTCCGCCGAAAAGATGTTCAAGACCCCCTGAATGAAGAGAAGAGGTCAATTTTGCAAGATACCGATTCTGGTATGATTGATGAATATAAACGGTTTGGTTCTTGTCGATTAAGAGAATATTAGAATCTGACGTGAACGGGGTAGGTGCAAGATACATGTGTAGTAATCATGAAGCACAAGGAATTTAATGAACAGGAACTGCCTATATAGTTCTCTTCATAGGGCTTATAAAATTTACATGGAAACACATCGAAGTGTACAGTTCTCTCTGGAACTTTTATTGTATTTATACTGCTATAAGCTGTTTATTTAACAAAGGTTACTTTTGAGTTTTTCAATGGTTTACCGGATACATTTGTAAATTAATCGCCTATTAATTAGTTGGATTTTGGGGATATTAATAGTTAATATTTGGTCCAAAACATTATGTCTGATTTATAAGCTATAGTTCTAGAAAAACCGGATTTTTTTAGAGGAAAAGTTCTTTTAGAGAAAATAGTTATATTTGAAACAACCTCAATGATGATGGGTTATAAATGTCAGATCTTCATCCAATGCAGGAAAGGAAGATCTAAGGTTACCATGAGCATAAAACTCGAAGAGCTTACAGTTTTGAATGATCTTAAATTTGTTCAAGCTGTTCATAAAAAATCAAATATCGATGTTATACCCTAATACCTGCTTTGAAAAACATTAAATACAGTAAAATATTAATCGGGAATTGGAAACATATTCTGGTCGAAAGAATTGCACCGACTGATAAGCGGGTCAACTGCAAATTCCTCCAAATCTGAAAAATGCAACCGACTTATAGGGGAACCGACTTATAGGCGAGTATATACTTCTGGTGGTTGTTTATTGTGGAAATGAAGATATAGATGACATTGTATATACAATATACGGATTTTAAATCTCGAGAATTAGCTATTAAAACTTCACAAAATATTTTTAAAACTTAATACGTTGATAAATGTCAACATCATACAATATTGTAATTTACAGAAAACACAACCTTTGTCCCAAAGGAATCCGTTTTTAGAAGACTTCGGAGATGCTGGGGACTTGTCTGGTGGTTGTCTTTAAATGTGAGTGTTGTCAAAATCTTATATCCTAACTGCTAAAAACATTTTTTTCGATTTTCAGATGTCAAACTTTTTTTTAATTCAATCTGTCTAAGAGTGATTTTGTGCTTTTAACCCATTTCAAAAGACATATATCCCATCGATATATCCCAGTGAACTTTAAATAAAAGATACCACAGAGTCTGCCACATCTGTTTCATATTTAGATGTTTTACTGACTATAGATGATAAAGGCTAATTAAAAACTAAATTGTATGTCAAACGAGATGACTTTATCTTTTTCTATCGTCAACTTTCCTTATTTATGTAGCAATATTCCACTATCACCTGCCTATGCTATGTCTCCCAACTTATTCGCTACACAAGAACTTGTTGTTCTTGTTGTCAGGCTACTCACTAATAAGTTGATGTTACAGGGATTTCAACAGCGTCGTTTAAAGTCAGCATTTCGTAAATTTTATGGTCGTTATTATGACCTTGTTAACAAATATAACCTACCACTGGTCGTATTTTGGCTGACTTGTTTCATACCAATTGTTAGGCCTTTGTTTTTGTACTGAATTGACTACGGATAGTTCCGTCAACCTGATCAATACATAGGGCTCACGACGGGTTCATCACAGGGGATGCTTACTCATCCTGGGCACCTGATCCCACCTCAGGAATTTCCAGGGATCCGTGTTTTATGACATCTTTACATATTTGTATTGTTTATGGAATTTGATCTTTACCTTTTACAGAGGATTATTTTAAACGATAGTTTGGCACTCGGGTACATTTAGTTGACAGTGAATACAACCGCTGTAACATCAACGAGATCTAAGCATTTTTTTTTTTATTGAATTACAATTATCATGCTAAAGATAAGTATTTTATGTTTAGGTATTTTTTTTATATCTGTTTCAAATATTTCTTTCACGTTAATCTATCAGATTTATTTTTATGTAGATATTATTTTAATATAAAGTACACTTTATTTTTAATTGCCAAATATAAGAATTTTTAAAAATCCTTAAAATACGCTTTTGAAACATATACCTGTATAGGCTTGTACATAATATATACTAGTAAGAAACTGAGACTTCCGCTTTACTTTTTTTGCAACTTATGTTTTTAATTTCATTTGACCTGTTTGTATATAGTGATTGTTTTATGTGATGTTGTGTTATATTTTTTATGTCAGTTATGTGCAGTCTATTTGTTTGAGTATGTTGCACAAGGTTGTGCTGCGAAAGTGCGACCCAAGTCCGAGTATAACAAAGGATGTCCAGAACTTTTTGCTGCCCTGTCATTTTGCTATCAAGTAAGTTACACACAAATATATGAAAAGCAATTATCTATAAATTATCTAGCTGAAGATAAAGCTTCCTCACAGTATTAGTTTTTTACCTTTATTTTCAGTCAGGGGTATTTGCATCCAGATCATCTGTGCAATTATTTCAAATCAAAAGAGTGGAAATACTCTCATTTTTACAGTTTCTAAATATGATTTTATGGATAATTGATGTTCATGTAAGTATGAAACATTCTGAAATAAGAAATCACAGTCAAAATGTTTTTAATCGAATTACATTATTCCTGAATACATATTAATATTTTGCAACTTGCAGTATAAATTCATACCTGTGTATATTTTACCGGCGTTGATGATCTATGTGGGTCTTTTGGGAGGGGCCTCTTATGTCAACATATTTTATCTACTGTTGCATGAGGAAAAATATCCTGAAGAGGACAGGGAATTCTGTATAAACATTACATCACTCTTCATCACAGGAGGTAAAAAGAAATGATTTTACAAGTAGTGTAATCATGTAACACATGTAATTTTACAAGTAGTGTAATCATGTTGTAATATTACAGTTAGAGTAATCAACTTAATTATTTCACAGCAAGTAACAAGAAAATACAATTCAACAGGAGTTGAGGAAATATCGTATTAGATACCTACCAACCCAAATTGTTTTCAGTATCTGACATGATTGTTAATAAATATATATGTTTTAAATTTCTATTTTTTAACAGGGATAGTTTTAGGAACCGGGTTAGAAACTGCTCTTTTCAACACTGTGCTGAAAAGCGATTAAAAGAGAACAAACTTTACTTCTCTTCTTTAAATATGTACAATGTTAATGGACACATTTTCTACAGCTTTGACATTGCTGTCCATGGTGTGGTGCTATTAATACAATACTCGTCCATCATCTCTTTCAGTTATTTTCGAAGTGTAAATTTATTTATGTTTCATAGACTCCAGATTTTGTATTTTTATCTTGTATCAATCACTTTCAATAGTTGTAAAAAAATATACTTGAACAATGTATATTGTGCTAATGTGTATAATTTATTTTTTCCGTTATTTTTAAAATACAGTGTATTTTTAAAATGAACAACAAATTATGCTTGAATCAGTTTTTAAAAAAAATACCGGTATTTTAAAATGCAAACTCTTTTTATGTTATAATTTCATCATTTTTTGTTTGTTTGTTTGTTTGTTACTCATCAAACAACTGCTATTTTAAAGCTGTGAACTGATATTATTTTCATTTTGCGGAATTGTTTATTCTTGATAAATAATTAAATCTGTGGGGGATCGTTAGTTAAATTAAATAAGAAAAAACATCCCTTAAGTTCAGATTCTATCCAGAGTTGTCTTTCCTTAGTCTTGTGGAGGCCTTCCAGTTTCTAAATATGGTACATATTCACAGAGTCGATGTAAAAATTAATACAATCATCTTGTTAAATGTAGCCATATTTCCTCTATCTTTTGTACATTTTGTGCCACTAGCCAGTGATCATCTACTACTCTATTCCGGGATTCTGTTGTGTCCTTTTTGTTCTACTGTCTGCCTCCCTTGCTTTCTTTTCTTTTCTTTCTTTTTTTTTTTTTTTTTTTTTTTTTTTTTTTTTTTTTTTGTTTTGTTTTGTTTGTTTGTCGGTTTTTTTTTGTTCTTTTCTTTCCGTTGTTCAAACATGTGGGCTCTGTTTGGTTAGCTTTAAGTATCTGTATTCCTGCAATAAGTCAACAATAAGATCTGACAAATCGTCATAATTATCTGAATAGTCGACATAAATATACGACAAGTCAAAATATTTATCTGACAAGTTTGACAAAACATCCAGCAAGTTGACATCATTAGTCGACTTAACATTTGGCAAGTCGACTTGTCAGAACATTATGTAAACTATGTAATTATGTAGACTTCTCTAAAAATTATGTTGACTTGTCAGATATGATGATGTCCAGAAGAAGTCGGTTAGTGGCATTGAAAAGCTTTAATATCAAGATACCGAGTTCCTAGTCCTGATGATTATCATCTGACAACATAATTTTCTGAATAGTTGACATAAGGATCTGATAAGTCGACATAAAGATCTGACATGTTGACATAATTATCTGATAAGTAGTACCAGAAATATGCCACCATAAATAAACAATAGTTACTTCCATTTCATATGTCGACTCGGTATATCCCAGTGAACTCGAAATAAAACACAAAGAGGCTGTCACATCTGTGTCATATTTGGATATTTGTTTAACTGAAAACAGACGATAGGGGCCAACTAACAACCAAATTGTATGACAAACGAGATTACTTCAGCTTTTCCGTCATAATCTTTCCTTATTTATGACAGTAATATTCCGCTTTCACTTGCAGATGGTGTTTCCCAACTTATTTGATACTCAAGAGCATGCTCCGAGTACGATCAACTTTTAAACCAAGGCAGGCTACTAACAGATAAGCTGATGTTACAGGGGGAGTACAATAACCTCGTTTAAAGTCCCCATTTCGTAAATTCTATGGTCGTTATTAATGCTTTGTTAGCAAATGTTACCGAACATTGGGTGTATATTTCTTACCACTTATGAGGGCTTTGTTTTCATACTTAACTTGACTAAGGAATATTCCGTCTACGTGATCAATACATAGGGATCATGGCGGATCATTCCACTTCTGTAATTTCCGAGGGTCCGTGTTTTATGCCTTGTTCACAAATTTGTATTGTTAGTAGGTTTTATGAAATCGATCACTTCGCTATCTTCACCTTTTTCACTACAAAGAAAAAAATAATATCAATATGACTGTTCTGCTCTATTTACCCATGTCCCTGTAAAAAGTGTTATTTTGAGATTTGAAATGGTCATTTACTAAAATGAAGCAATTAACAAAAACAAAATTACATATATAAGAGGCCCATGGGACACATCGCTCACCTGAGCACTTTGACCAGGAAATTGAAAAGTTTAAATACATGAATGGTCCTAACATACCACGCAGGGGGAGGGGGTATGCTTTGAACAAACTTGAATCTACACTGACTGAGGATGCTTCCATATTTCTTTGACTAATCATGGCTTTAGAAAATTTTTAAAGATTTTTTCATGTACATTTCCATGTAAATATTTGATGTTATTGTGGAACCATCCTTTCCCTGGGAGACATGGTTTGAACCATCTTGAATCTCAACTACCTGAGGATGCTTCTGTATTAATATGACTAATCATGGCTTTGCTTTCTTGAGAAGAAGATTTTTAAAGATATTATATATATATATATTCCTGTGTATAACTCTGATCCCTTTTTCCCACCCCATCCCGGGCGTCAGGAATTCAAAAAAAAACTTGAATCCACATTACCTGATAATGTTTCTGTATTAATATGACAAATCATGGCTTTTCTGTTCTCAAGAAGATTTTAAAATCTTTTTTCCTGTATATTTCTATGAATAACTTCGATCCCCAGTTGTGGCCTCACCCTAACCCCGGGGGTCGTGATTTGAACAAACTTGAATCTATGCTACCTGAGGATGCTTCTCTATTAATATGTCTTATCATGGCATTCCTGTTCTAGAGAAGATTTTTAAAGGTTTTTCCTATAAATTCCTATGTAAAAATTTGATTGCCCGTTGTGACCCCACCCTAACCCAGGGGTCATGATTTGAACAAGCTTGAATCTACACTACCTGAGGATGTTTCCATATAAATATGACTAATCAGGGCTTTGCTGTTTTTGAGTAGAAAATTTTTATGATTTTTTTTCTATGTATTCAGGACTATGTAAAACTTTTGCCCGTTGTGGCTCTGTCCTATCCCCCCTCCGGGAGGGGGGGGAGGGGGTCATGATTTAAACAAATTTGAATCTACGCTATATCAGAAAGCTTTCACATACGTTTCATCTTTTCTGGCCCAGAGGTTTTTGAGAAGATCTTCTAGTGATCTACCTAATTTTTACTATTTCTTAATTATATCCCCTTTAAAAAGGGTGTGGCTTTCATTTGAACAAACCTGAATACCTTTCACCCAAGGATTCTATGTGCCAAGTTTGGTTAAAATTGGCCCAGTGGTTCTGGAGAAAAAGATGAAGTTGTAAAAAGTTTACGACAGCAATTTTGATCAGAAAAGCTCACTTGAGCCTTCGGCCAAGGTGAGCTAATAATGAACATCAGAGTAAACAAACAAATATCGAGCATACACTGCTTAAGTTTAGATGGTTTTTTCGGTAAACTTCAGCAGCTGTTGATTTAATCCTTGGGCCGATGTATTGCTTTGTTTACTGATAATGTTCCAGAGCAACTGCTTGAATTGAATGACAGTTGTTCACAAATAAAAATCAATCTGCCCCTAAATTAAATTATTAGATATCTCATAGAACCATAACGTTAACAATCTTTCCTATTTTCAATCAAAGATTAATTTCTTTTTATTTTTTATCTTTAATACAGATTTACTTTGGTCTTAAATTGTAGTAGATTACAGGTGTAATCATGGTTCCGTACTGTGTATTGCATCAATGATAATCATGGAGTCACAGTGTCCATTAAGAATTAACAGCAAGGCAGCGCTAGCTCTGTGCTCGTTATAACCACTTTGTTTAACTCCAGACTACTTTATAAACTCTCAATCATGCTTCCTAATGCTATATTGATTTACAAAAACTAGAAATATGAGTGTTAATTATCTCAATATCACTCTTTGAAAATACACTTCTACTGTGATATTTTTTTTTTCATATTAAATTATTTTAGTACTGAAATAAAATACTAGTGCATTATTGCTATGAGATCTGAAACGTCAGAAAAATCGTAGGGACTCCGAGCTCTAATTCAGGTACAATTAATGCTGAAAGTCCCATCTCTGTTCCGAAGGTCTGATCGAGGTAGTCCCAGCAGAGCAATCAATTGTGACTTGGTAGACGAAGCTTTGTTAATCAGATAACGTTTCACCCACATCAATTATTCATCAAATTTAGATGTATTTGGCACGAGATGAGATCTGTATCAAGGGAGAGCCCATACTGTCAAAGACCGTAAATTCTTGAAGTTGTCATTTGGACAGGACTTGATACCAAAAGCTAATTGTAACTGATATCAACGATAATGCATTTTCCTAGAGTTAAATGGGGAAACAGACGACGTAAGCTTTTCTAATTGTTTATAATGCAAAGATTCTTTAGAGTGCCAGTGTTTCTGAAGAATGCATCCAGGTCTCTTTAGCTGTTAGCGCCTGTGTATGCCTTTGAGCTCTTGACATTTTTTTTATGACAAAATATATATATAATAGTGTAATATATTTCAAAGCCAGTAAGATTAAAAAATAAAATAACCAGTCAGTATAATTATCCATTTCAAACAAATATGGAGAATATGTGAGAGATAAGATCTAGAATCCGAAAATAAATATCTGTCCAGACAAAAATTTTAAAGTTGAGGCAAATACGATGTAAAGTACTGCTGCTTAAACAAAAAAGGAGAAAAAGCATTTAAAATAAAATTTACAAAAATAATATATCTGGTAGTCAACTGTAATTTTCGTTTTGGAAATTGACAAAAAACAAAGACCAGCAATCTTTAAACATCGATAATTTCAGTTGTTTGGTGTTATGTTGCACTTGTTTTGAGGCACTCCTCCTAAAGATTTAGTTGGATTGTAATGAAACTTGCCACACAAAAAGACTAAATCAAGGACCATTATTCTGTTTATTGCTGTTGTCATTGTTTCAAGCCCAAATGCTGCCTTTCTCTTCCTTTGTTATAACTTCACACAAGTAGAGTTTCAGTCTCTGGTTCCACAACTTGAATTTAACCGCCATGTTTACTGATCATGATTGATTTATTTTGGGACAGCTAATGAGAATTCGGGAGAAGGGATCTTGGAATCCACTGATTTTAAGCATCAATAAAGCGGAAAATCTCGAATACATTTATTTATCAATGTTTAGTGATATCATATACGGCAATATCATTTATCTACACGAATACTTTCTAAAGTCAATCTAATTTCAAGACCAAGTCACAGGAAATCACGCGAGACGTGTCATGAAC